AATAAACTTTAAATTAAAAATAAATAAAAATAAAACCTTCCCACAAAGAAAACCCCATGCAATTATGGCTTAATTGATAAATTCTACCAAATATTTAAGGAAGAAATAATGACAATCCAACAAAAACTCTTTCAAAAAATACAAGAAGAGAGAACACTACAGGGTGCCTGGGTGGCTCAGTTGGTTGAGCATCCGGCTTCGGCTCAGGTCATGCTCTCATGGTTCGTGGTTCGAGTCCCGCGTTGGGCTCTGTGCTGGCAGCTCAGAGCCTGAAGCCTGCTTTGGATTCTGTGTCCCTCTCTCTCTCTGACCCTCCCCTGCTCACACTGTCTCTCTCAATCTCTCTCTCTCTCTCAAAAATAAATAAAACATTAAAAAAATGTTTAAATATTAAAAAAAAAGAACACTTCACAACTCATTGTATGAAGCCAGTATCACTCTGATACCAAAATCAAAGACATCATCAGAAAAAAAAAACATAGATCAATGTCCTTCATAAAGATGAAAACTCTTAACAAAATTTTAGCAAACCAACAATATATAAAGGGATTAAGACATAATAACTAGGTGGTATTTATCCCATGGAATGCAATCTTGGCTTAATATTCCAAAAACAAAATCAATTTAATTTACCATATTAACAGACTAAATGAGAAAAAATTATAATTTTATAATTTCAATAATTGAAGAAAAATGACAAAAGCCAACACTCAGACATAAAAGAAATTGAACGGAACATCCTCCACCAGATTAAGGACATCATTCTCAACAAAAAAAAGTTCAATGTCTTCCCATTAAGATTAAGAATGACTAAAGGAAGTTTCCTCTCAACATTTCTATTCAGAATTAGACTGGATACCCTAACAGGTACAATGGATCATGAGAAAGAAATAAAAAGCATATGCAAAAAAAAAAAACAAAAAACTGTCATTACTTACAGGTTATATGATCGTGTGCAGAAAACATCCTAAGACATCTGCAAAAATCCCCACTAGAACTTAATAGTGAATTCAACAGGGTCACATGACACAAAATACAAAAATACATTCCATTTCTATAGACTACCAATGAAAAAATAGAAAATAAAAAATTTTAAATCAATTTACAAGAGCATCAAAAAACAAAACACTTAGGAATAAATTTAATAAAATATGTACAAGAACTGAACACTAAAAACTACAAAAGACTGCAAAGGAAAAATGAAAGGACTAAAGAAATGGGAACAGACACCATGTTTACGGATTTGAAGACTGAACAAAGTTAAGATGGCAATTCTCTCCAAACTGCTCTAAAAGTTCAATACAATCCAATTAATTTCCCAGGAGGCTTTGTGAAGAAATTGATAATCTGATTTCATAACTTATATAAAAATGCAAAGACAACAAAAAACAAAGACAACAGCAAAAACAACCTAGAAAAAGAAGAAAGATGAAAGACTCAGGGGAGCCCAGATGGCTTAGTTGCTTAAACGTCTGACTTTTGATTTTGGCTCATGTCATGATCTCACAGTTCATGAGATCAAGCCCTGCATGGGGCTACAAGCTGACAGCAAGGAACTTGCTTGGGATTCTTTCTCCCTCTCTCTCTACACCTCCCCAACTCAAACATGCATTCTCTCTCTCTCTCAAATTAAATCAACATAAAAAAAAAAGATGGAAAACTCACAATATCTGATGTCAAGACTTACAATGAAGCTATAGTAATCAAGACAGTGCAGTTAAGGCATAGGATGGATAGACAGGTCAATGGAACAAAATAGAGAGACCAATAATAGCACCGTATTTTTATGGTCAAATGATTTGTGACAAAGGCATCAAAGTTAATTCAATGAGGAAAGGATAGTCTTTTCAACAAATGTTGCTGGAACATGGTTATCTGTATTGAAAAAGATAATAATAAATCTTGACCCCTACCTCACAACATACTGCAAAATTTACTTGATATGAATCAAAGACCTGAAGGTAAAAACTATAAAAATTCTAGAAGAAAACCTAAGAAAAACTTTATAATCCTGAGTCAGATAAATATTTCTTAAACAGGACACAAAAAGAATGAATATAGGGGCGCCTGGGTGGCTTAGTCGGTTAAGCGTCCGACTTTCGCTTAGGTCATGATCTCGCGGTTCGTGGGTTTGGGCCCCGCGTCGGGCTCTGTGCTGACTGCCAGCTCAGAGCCTGGAGCCTGTTTCAGTCTGTGACTCCCTCTCTCTCTCTGACCCTCCCCTGATCACGCTGTCTCTCTCTCTCTCTCCTAGAAATAAATAAAACATTTAAAAAAAAAGGAATGAATATAAACAGACAACAGCTAAGAGGCAGTTAGGGATAACTATCATTTGGTAATAACACTGGGTTTATTCTTTTTGGGAGGCTTTTATAGTGCTTTGTTTATATCCCTTTTGCACTCCATAACACACCAAAATCATTTCTCATTCAGACAAAATAGAGATAAATAAAAAGACTACTCAATCTCTGGAGTCCTGGGATGTTTACATAAAAAATTACCATAGAGGGGCGCCACGGTGCCTCAGTCGGTTAAGTGTACGACTTCAGCTCAGGTCATGAGCTCACGGTTCATGGGTTCGAGCCCCGTGTCAGGCTCTGAGCTGACAGCTGGGTCAGAGCCTGGAGCCTGTTTTGGTTTCTGTGTCTCCCTCTTTCTCTGACCCTCCCCTGCTCATGCTCTCTCTCTCACTCTAGAGCTCTCATACTCGCTCTAAAAAATAAACCAAAAAAAAACTTTTTTTAACTACCATAGAGACAGATAGAAATTGGATGGGGAGCCTGGGTGGCTCAGTTGGTTAAGTGTCCAACTTCGGCTTGGGTCATGATCTCACGGTTCGTGGGTTCAAGCCCAGCATCAGGCTCTGTGCTGACAGTTCAGAGCTTGGAGCCTGTTTTAGATTCTGTGTCTCACTTTCTCTCTGATCCTCCCCTGCTCACGCTGTCTCTCTCTCTCTCAGAAATATATAAAACATTAAAATAAATTTTTTAAAAATAATTAAGAAAAGAAATTGGAATTTATGTTTTCCCTAATCAAACTAGACAATAATGACATTTCAGAAAAAGACTTTGAAAGTCAAAAAGATTTTAATAAAAAAGTTAGAAAAGTCAAAATAGACCAATAATAGCCTCACACTTTTATGCTCAAATGATTTATGACAAAGGCACCAAAGATGATTCAATGGAGAAAGGATAGTCTTTTCAACAAAGAAAAACAAATTGATAAAATTTAAATAGATATATCTTCACAACAAAACAACACAACTGAGCCTTCTTTTATATTTTAAGTATATTCCTAGAAAAAATAAGTATAAAATAAAGTTTTATGAAATGGAAAGAATTTATACAGTAGTGGAAATTTCTTTATAAGTTAATTTTATTATGAATCACATTGTATAAGATTTCAAAAATAAAAACTAATTTACATTTTATATAATTCTAAATATTCCTTAGTTCTTCTTGAAGCCAAATATGGAGCTGAAATATTAATGCAAATGGTAAAAATACAAGTTTACTTATCATAAAGGGAAAAACATTAGACTAAAACTTTATAAAATTACCTTAAAATGTTGATTTTTTTCTTTTCTATTCATAATAATGCACCTTTTTCAGCTAGTGTGTGTGTGTGTGTGTACGTGCGCACGCTAAATCCAAGAGGTTGACAAAAGAAAGCAGAATGATAGAAAAAGGAAGAAGATAAAAGTTTAAAAATGTTCACAAATATAGGGAAGGACACAAAATAAGTGAATCCAAAAAAGGAAGAATAGAGATACTTAATTTGAATATTAAGCTACTTATCAGGCTCACTGCAATCAACCACAGGTTTAAAAGAAGAAGCAAAAGAGAAAGAGAAGACACATGCCAAGCTTTGCTAGAATAATTTACTTATTTGTATCTTGAATAAAAATGTCACAATCATAGCTATTATCTATCAAACACATACTATGTACAAGTAGCAAATTATCTCTGACTCTTAAATAGCCTCACAAGGTCGGTATTATTATCCCATTTATCTTTCTTAACCCTAGAGAGGTTAAGAAATTTTTGGAAAGCCATACAAGAAAAAGCCATTAACCAAAGAGAAGGAATTTGAACCTGGGTCTGTCCTTTGAAAACAGCATTCTAACTCCCAAGTGGTGTCATATAACAATTTTAAAAATAGATTTTGTTTAATTAACAGTAATTATAGTTACAAAAGAACTCCTCTAGGGAATTACAAAATACTAAACAATTCATGAGGCAGCAGCAATACTGGAAATTCCACTGAAGGAGGCCAAAAGCACCTACCACAGTTAGAGTATAAATTAATATGACTACAGCATTAATAAGACAGTAAGAATATTTTTTAAATCTCTAGCAAATATCCATTAACCTTTGTTAATACAATTGAAAGCCAAGAATGGGATCAAATGGTTTTGTGGGTCAATAAAAAATATCTCATAAACACGTCGGTACATCTTAAGAAATCTTTTCTAAAATGAAATAGGGTTTAGACAGTGAACAGGCACACTGAAAATAAAGTATTTAGAAAACAAGGATCATTCAAACCTTAATGTATTCAAGGGAACATAGATAATTAAAATGATGTATTAGGAAAAAATGTTTTTCTGATTAAAGACCATTCTGAAAACAAGCAGTGAATGACAGGAAATAAAATTAATTCTTTTAAATTCAAAGAAAAAATCTCCATCTAAAACATCTGTGTAAAAAGGAGATGTGGAAACCTATATAAATGACTAAAATGTATCCTATCAAGAAGCTGAGTGGAAAAAAATTTCAAATTTCAAACATATAGGAAAAGAATTAAACCTGAACATGGAGAGCATTGTTCTAAAGCATAAAAAGGGAAGCCATTCACTAGCATACCAGCTCAATGAGGCCATTCAACATTTTGCTGAAGTACAGAGTATTAAAATATTAATAACTGCAAATTCAATAAAATGTTACATTAAAATAAGAAGTCAGCACAAAAGTGTCTGTAAAAGTAAATGAAATTTCTACCTTTGGCCATTTTGGATTGAGAAGTCGAGCTTTGATTGCATCGTCCAGTGCCTTGTCATACTGCTGGATTTTCATATAGGCTGCAGATCTATTGCTGTATAAGATGCAGTTCTGAGGGTCAACAGCCAGGGCTTCATTGTACAGAACAATAGCTGTATGAAAATCTCCATCATGACAGGCCTGGTTACTCTGACGAACTTTCTCAACAAATTCAGCTTTGCTCAACACTGGTCCATCAGGACTTCTCCGACCAATAGTCTTAGCACCAAAGAGAGGAATCTACAAACAAAGAAACTTTGTCAGATAATCCAGAGGGTTTCTTTGTCTGAACTTCAAGAGAACAGGGACATTCTGGGGTGCCTGGGTGGTTCAGTTGGTTGAGCGTCCAGCTTCGGCTCAGGCCATTTTCATGGTTCATGAGTTCAAGCTCCACACTGGGCTCTCTGCTATTAGCGCACAGCCCGCTTCAGATCTTCTGTCTCCCTCTCTCTCTGCCCCTTCCCCACTTGTGCTCTCTTTTTCAAAAATAAAAATAAATAAATAAAAGAACAGGGACATTCTTCATGTTCTACTTTATACAATAAACTTTTATAGCCTGAAAGACAATAAACTTTCCAAGAAGCAGCCAACAGAGTACTTTAAATGCTTATGTATGTATATGTATATGTTTTTATACAAACATATATATAAAACATACATATTTAAGGATACTTGGGTGGCTCCATTGGTTAAGCATTCTAATCTTGATCTCTGCTCAGGTTCTTGTGTTCTTGTGGTTTATGAGATCGAGCCCTATATCGGGCTCTACCCTCACAGAGGAACCTGCTGCTTGGGATTCTCTCTCTCCCTCTCTCTCTGCCTCTCTCTCTCTCAAAATAAACTTTAAAAACAATACATATTTATATTTATATTTTTTTGATTGAGAGAATGAATGAATGAATGCAAAAGAACACTCAGACTTTTTCTTGGCAATTTACAGTTATATTAAGGGAAGGAGCCTGGCTGGCTAACTCAATAGAGTATGAAACTCTTGATCTCAGGACCTGAGTTTAACCATATGTTGGGTGCAGAGATTACATACATACACACATGCATAAACTTATTTACGTTAAGGGAGAAAATACAAATATAAGCCAATACAGAAAGTATGATCTCATCTATATTGAGACAGTTGCACTCAGAAAATGAAAGAAACAATCAAAATATTAACTATGCTAAGTTATCTCTGGAAATAAAATTATGGATTATCTTTATTTTCTTATCCAAACATTATACAAAAGCATATGTTAAGTTCTAAAATTTTTTAAAAATTAAACTTTATAAACATAAATTTTAATGTACCAATGACTCTTTTAGCTGGCAAATTTGGTAATTTGGCTTCTACCGTGGAATTTCAAAGACAAACACCAGTTTTTGGAAATCACCAAAAAGGAAAAGAAAACACCTGCCGTAAATTGTATCTTGGCAATTTAAGACCTGTTTTTTATGTTGATTTCTTCCAAATCATTAAGTTTCCTATGACTTAATAACACTGGCCTTAAAACCAAAGGGAATGAATGAGTCAAATATTACTCATTTTTAAAATAGGAAAATTATGAACTGCCTCAGAGTCCCAAGAGAAGAAACTTAAGACATCAGTATCCAGAGAGACCATTTGCAATTCTAAGCAGACTTGCCCTGAGTAAAATTAAAACAAAAAGTGTAAAGTATAATTTTCTTCCTCATGTCTTTCTTTAAGACTAAGTCCAGTCCCTCCATTCAAAAGAGGACAGGGGCACCTGGCTGGCTCAGGTGGTAGAACATATGACTCTTAATCTCAGGGTTATGAGTTTGAGTCCCACACAGGGTACAGAGAGAGATATTACTAAATAAATAAATCTTAAAAGAGAGAAAGAGAGAGAGAGATAAAGGGCAGATCTGAGATTTAATACACCAATACTTAAAAAGCATCAGACCCCTCACAGAGGACAAAGGACAAAATCCACAGAAAGGAAGAAGAAAGGCAGAGCTAATCTCCCACATAGACAATCACTATTTTTCCTATTTACAGGAATATCATGTCCTAGATTTCCATGACAATTTGAAACATTAAAAATATTCTTGGGGGGCTCAGGTGGCTCAATTAGTTGAGTGTCCAACTCTTGGTTTCCGGCTCAGGTCATGATCTTACAGCTCAAGAATTCAAGCCTCTCATTGGGCTCTGTGCTGGCAGTGCAATGCCTGGTTAGGATTCTCTCTCTCTCCCTCTCTCTCTCTCTGCCCCTCCCCTGCTTACACTCACTCTCAAAAAATAAAATAAAACTTGAAAATAAAATATAATACTGTAGAAATGCCAAAATATCAGTGTTAAAATTATATCCCTCAACTTCCTCATACTGGAAATGACAAACCAAGAATGTATTCTGTATGTATTAGTTTTTTATTGATATTTTAAATTATGATCATGAAATATACTGCTTGAAAATTAACAGACTATATAACATTTACCAAACAACAAGGATTTTCCTAAAGAGTCTTGATTTTTTATTTTTTTATCTATATCAATCAAACCAATGTATGAGATATTGACAATGTACAAAACTGATTTCCTTTTGGGAAATAAAGTCATCAGGACTCCAAAATAAGGGGAGTACTAGCCATAAATTATGAAAACCAATTCTGTATTTGAAAACTCAAGGGTATGACATAAAAATATAAATAACAGCCTTTAACAGTAAAATGATTAGGTTCAAATACAGCTTAAAAGTGAAAAAGACATGATTCTACTATTAGAGCATTTCCTACTTCTGAGAGTAATAATTTGGTTCATTGTCAATACAAATAAGAATCAAATTAAGAAAAGAAAGTTTCTGCATTCTACCACCTCCATATACGGTAATATAAAATAACATTTCCCAAATTATACACCCCTACAAACCCTAGGTCCTCAGGATGTTTGGAGGAACAAAGTAAAATGAGTTTCTGTTTTAGTGGACAACCTCCAAGCTTTTATTCTACACACTGTGAATCTGAGAGGGGAGATACCATACATACAGGATCAAAGGATCTTTTTGGTAGAGTATCTTCCCAGACAGGAAATTGCTAAAACCTCTGATATAAAGTAGAGCACCTAGCTGGCCCAGCTGGTAGAGTATGTGACCCTTGATCTCAGGGTCATGAGTTCAAGCCCCATGTTGGGTGTAGAACCTACTTAAAAACAAAAAGCAAACAAACAAAAACCCTCTGATATAAATTACTAAATAAAGCCTCTGAGAGCAAAGTAAAACCCCATGGAAAAGCACTAGTGCAGAAAGATCATAAATACTAGAGAATTCCAACATCATCACCACCATATGTCCATAAATTTAAAAGAAAAAGGCACTCTAGTAAGTGTCCACAGAAGCTTCTAATGTGTCAAACTACGTCTGTTTCTAATAAGCTAGTTACAGTGTTGTTCTTAGGAGGCTAATAGCATTTTGTGTACAGTTTCAAAAAAGGAATATAATTTACCTAGTCCCTCTTTATCTTCTCTGCTATCAATAAATATGGCATGACAGAGAGGGGGGAAAAAAGGCCTTTGCATGTATTTTCAGATTATATATACAGTATTTGGAATAACTGGCCATATTAAATTCAGAAACAATTAGAGTGGATTGTACCATGGATATTTTAAAAAATAAAATGAAATTTCAGGGCACCTGGGTGGCTCAGTTGTTAAGCATCTGACTTTGGCTCAGATCATGATCTCACATTCCTGAGTTCAAGTCCCACATCAGGTGAGCTCATGCCCTGCTTCAGGTGAACAAGAGTCCCACTTTGGGTGAGCTCTAGCCCCACTTCAAGTAAAAACATGAGCCCACTTCGGGTGAACCCCGCTTCTTTCTCCCTCTCTCTCTCTCCCTCTCTCTCTCTCTATCCCTCCTGGGATTCTCTCTCTCTGACCCTCACTCAGTTGTGCTCTCTCTCAAAAAAATAAATTAAATGAAATTAAATTAAATTTTGAATCACTAATTTAATTAGGTTAACTGATTATGCTATTCTTTCTTTCCTCATATATTTCCCATATTTACAGTTTATGGATGTCAACAAATATTTTCTCTGACCCTCTGACAAACTCATCTTGAAATGACAGTGGCAATAACACAGATGAAACAGGCTCAGAATATTCAGCCACACACAATTACCACACTGTAGTAGTTCCAGACGAGTTATAAATTTTGACTATTCAAATGAAATAGAAAAATTCTTATCCTTTATATCAAAAAATGATACATGAATCAAAGAATTAAATGTTTAAAATAAAACTATTAAATTATTAAAATGAAACAGAACAATTTTTTTATCATATAAGCTGAGGAAGGCCTTTTTAATTACAACACAACCTAAAGACATAACAGAAAAGACTGACAAATCTGACAACATAAAAGTTTTAAATATCTTAGTGGAAAAAAATAAATTTAAACAAAGTGAAAAGATGAGTAATAAATCAATTTTAAAGCTCTTTGCAACATCTAATAAAAAGCTAATTTTCTGGGGCGCCTGGGTGGCTTAGTCAGTTAGGCGTTCAACTTTCACTTAGGTCATGATCTCGTGGTTCATAGGTTCGAGTCCCGCATCGGGCTCTGTGCTGACTGCCAGCTCAGAGCCTGAAGCCTGTTTCGGAGTCTGTGTCTCCCTCTCTCTCTGACCCTCCCCTGCTCATGCTGTCTCTCTCTCTCTCTCTCTCTCTCTCCTAGAAATGAATAAAATATTTTAAAAAAAATTTTTTTTAAAAACGCTAATTTTCTTACTACATAAAACTCTACAAATAAAAAAATCCAATGAACAAAGAATATGCACAAGCAGATCATAAGAAAGGAGATCCACATGGCTTTTAAGCACATTTTTTAATGTGTGACTTTTTTTTTTTTTAAGTAAGCTCTAGGCCCAACATGGAGCTTGAACTCACGACCTTGAGATCAAGAGTCACATGCTCTACCAACAGAACCAGCCAGGTACCCATGACTTCAGTTCTTTAAAAAAAAAAATTAAACCTTAAAATATTATTTTTCTTCTCTCATACTAACGGAAAAAAAAATTATCAGTACGTTTTCATGGTAAGGGGGATAAAGAAAAATTTACATTCATACATTGCTGATAGAAGTGGAAACTGATATGATTTCATTATAGAACTAAGGAATAGCTACAAATGGTACATATCCTTTGAATTCTAGAAATTTTTTCCACTTCTGGTAATTTATCCTGCAGATACATTTACCTATGTAAGCAAAGTCACATATACAAGATATTTGTAACAGCATCATTTGTATTAGCATGAGGTTAGAAGTAATCTAATTGTTAGACAACAGGAAAACAGATAAATTAGTTTTCATTAGATCAATATAATTAGATCAATAATTGATACTACAAATCCAGCCAAAAGAATGAGGCAGCTTTTATATACTGATATGGAAAGACAGAAAAACACAAGATGCAGAAATGAGATTCAGAATATGTTATATTCCATGAAAAAAGGGGGGAAGGAAATAATACATAAACATATACACTCTTACATGCTTAAATATATATGGATTAATTATTCCAGAA